ATCTAGATTGGTTGACCCAAAATAAGATAAGAAATCTAGAGGATATTTCAGCTATCGCACTACATGCAGTTACACACAACCATAAAATAGGCTGGATGGGATAGGATGACAGTTTTAAAATCTAATGTCACAGGGTGGAGGGAGAGATTGATAACAGAAGCTTTGTTTATCGAATCAGCTGTAAATATATGTAATAGGAATGATTCAACACCTGTCCACCCTGACATCTGGAAAATTCTAATACCCCTACGACAAATGGGAGAAGAGAAAGAAAACTATAAAACTCAAGTTGCAAAATCGTGTGATTACAATTGATATGATTATGAGCAATAAATTTTGATCGAAACGTCATCCAGTAAATAATACTGCTTCACTGTGTGATACAACTAATAAACAAATTAATATGGAATTACTTGCTAGCACAATGCCCAAGTTTTACACATATATTCGTATAAGCTACTTACAAAATTCTAAGTAGTAAAATTAAAAATAATTTTATTCTAGGAGGTAGTTGCCAAAAAACAAAAACTAATCATACTGTGGAAACTGTTGAAGTGTAATTAAAATTTATTTGATATAACTAGGCTCTCAGGCATGTTGTACTTGCATTTTTAATTCTCATTAGGCGTTTCGCACACTGGCCACTGTAGAAGAGACACTCTCAGTGTTTTAAGACCTTCCTATTTCTATTTACTTAATCAGTATATGAATTGTATGGCTTTAATCTATTATTCCCGTACAGTTGCAGCTGAAAATTATCCCATTCCTGAACAACCGAATTTTAAGTATGATAATCGTTATAACATAGTTTTTGTCATTAACCAACATCAGTAACAGTCGCTGAAATCCAGGGAGCACCAAATGACTGTTTTGTCCTAGTTTGGGATTCCTCATCAGTATGCAACCTACCAGAGATCGTAGCGGGGACCTCCAGTTTAACAGTCCAGTTTGTTGAACATTCAGCTACTCGAGCTAGAATTCAATAACCTATGAATCCTTACTTTGTCGATTCGTGATATACCACTACCACTGGCACTATAACCTTAAAGTTCCTCCCGGTCTGAACTCTGGTAAAGTCGTCAGTGAACACTGTTTAATAGTACCTAACTAGCACGAAAAAGCTGTCCAATGATACTTGGTTATCAGTTATTCTCTAAATAATATTAGTTAGTCGTAAAATCTACACTGACATTAATTCAAAACCCTGCAAACCATATAACCTGAATATTCATTCTAATAACGCATTTACAATTCAATTTAAAGCCTAATGGGTTGCATTTAATTAGTCATGAACAGTATGAAGCATTACTAATTTGAAGCGATGAAAATGAATATTTTCAACCAAGTACCTTTCTAAATTAAGTCAGAGAATAGAAAAGAAAAAGTAGTACGAAGTGGCGCTTCAAGGAATTAGTACCTTTCTTTGAAAATCACAGTTGCAGATTTTCCGAATAATCCGAGTGAACATTGTAGGAAACTTTAGACGAAGTTCTATTAGTAGGTGGATATGCCTCACGAGTTTGTATTTGCACAGCTGTCTGCTCCCATGAAGAAGCGAAACATCATACACACTAGGCGTACATTTAGCCAACGTGGTCATGACCGCCATCCAGATTGAGTTTTGAAAAATGTGCACAAAAATGTTTAAATTGCCATAGTCAACCAATCCATAATAATCATGTGACGGTAGAAGACGAGAGACTTAGTAAAAGGAATGTTTATTTGGAATCTGATATCTTTATATAGCGACATTATGTACACCTTATCTTCAAATCATCATTTGCACAGATCTTCCGTGTTGCACTACTTCTGGCCTTCATATTGTGTTGCTTGGTGTTCCTTTCACTTCTCCCATGTTTCTCCGCAACGCTGTATCATTTGCTTTCTCTGAAATCAAATCTACTTCCCTTCTATCTGATGATGAACCTCTCTTTATATACTACTGATAAATCCTACCAGTAGTATACGCCAGAATAACACTTCTATAACTTGAAGCACCACTTCTTAAAGGTGAGCAGAAAATTTCTGACATATTTTCAATACTTTTAAATATCAAGAATCGTAGGTAGAAAAGTGATTAAAAAGGTGGACTTTCATCCTCTATCGTTTTCTTTATACATCAGTAGGATCAGAGAAACGAGAAAAATACGAAGTACAAATTAAGTTAGCATCTGGATGTAGACATCTCAGAAAAATGAATGTCCCAGAAACCTTTCCTAAAATCTTTCGCCAAAAATTAATAAAATTGTCAAACAAAAAGGCGAAATTATTTCTAACGAAGATTTTTCAGGGAATTATATCCAAAACATTGAAGCACATCAGGAATCAATCTAGAAGAGGGAACTAGTAGAAATTATAACACTTCAAGATTAATTCTAATTTTTTTAATTTTTGATTACAGCTTCATTCCACACAGTATGTTTGGTACAAGTATGGAATTTTCAGCATGGATACCGGTAGCCCAAATTTTGCAGGCCGACCATAGATATGAGGTGTGCGTCGGCAGGGTATCGAACCTCGGACCATGTGCATTGTCGGAGAGAGTCCTAACCACTAAGCCATCACGAACATACAACACAATTGGAGTTAGGTAACAGTTAGAGCTTCGCATTAGTGAATACATCTAATGAAATCTACACGGAAACAGATCAAATCTAACAACTTCATTATTAAACTGTCGAAAAATACCCATAGCTCTGGATGTGGATGTTTTCGCTCTCTCTCTGTCTCTCAAGTGGCGTTTCTTTGAAGCAGAAGTTCCAGAAGATCAACATAATTACCTGAAGCATAATGGAAAGTTTATACCAGGTATGAAGATGTAAGTGTTGTGAGGTTTCAACTGTGAAACCTATGGTTTAAAAGTTGAGTGCCTGAGCAACACCGTCAAATTACCAACTACTAACACTTTTACAATAGGTCACAGGATTTCATCATGAGCTGGCGTTGGTTAGAGAGTCATTGGAAAACCTGAGAGTACTGGACAGCTGTTTCATCCCAGTTTGAGACTCTTCACAGTACGCACCCACCAGGATTCGGACTCAGGACCTTCTGGTTACAAGGCGGGCTCGTATACCATTAAGCCACTGGGACCAAATCCAACGGCCCATGAATTCTAACTTCTGCCAATTCACGATATAGCGCAGCCGCTAGTCAATGTCTTCGGTCAATACTTTTACAATAATATACTCGTGTAATCGATTGGATAGTTTAAGAAGACAGTTTATGAGTGAGTAGATTCACTTATTCAACTCGAAAGGATAGATTCACCACAAAATATTTCTTGCCTATACAGAAGAGGCTTTTTTTATTTTATAGACTGACTGAAAAACAAGTCGGCTTAACAATATGGCTTAATATATGTATGGTCTTTTTTACGGACTCTGATGAAGATCTGACGGAACAGTTCCACAATAATTGGGTGCCGAGTGAAAAGTAGACATATGCATAACTTATATTCGTGTAAATGTCAGTGAAACTGACCACTGAAGGATTTGAATTAACTCGAATAATGTAGGTTTTACTGATCTACCGCTCACCTAAATGATCTTCATGAGTAAATCATGCATCCATTTAACTTTGATCACTAAGAATCTTCATGGCCGATTGTGGGTGAATAAGTGATACGTAACTGTCCATCAGTCTTTAATCGGACAGCTGTAATGAATAAAACTCCTCTGGCATGAAGTCATTCATATTTCTAATGGTATTTTAGCAGTTGCCAACCTGAAACATTTAATGATGCTCATTTAGTCACGGGTTCAATTTCCAATCAGTGCACTACTAAACCTCGGCAGTAAAGCTGGTGAAGAAGGAAGGTTGGGCGTGAGGCTAGTTAGTAAGCCCATCCCGTGAAAATAGAAAACCACAGCTACCAAAACTTCAAAGCTCCACGTTCCACTCGGAACGTAAGGGAATAAAACAATAATTTAAAAATTTGGTCACAAATGGTTTCATTTGTTATGCTGCAGTGAATGCGGCTCTGAGACTAGACGACTAAGTAGCTCGATGCATTATTACATGGAGCTCAAAATCGAAGGTAGCGACGAATATCTTACACTTCAATTCTGCTGTCTTCCACCGAGAAGTCATACAAACTTTATGAACACTTCCTTGAGAGGTAACTACAATAATGATAATTTGATTATTGACATATTTATATTTTTCTTTCTTTTTGATAACACCACATCAATCTGAACAGTGCTTCTTAGTATACATACTGAATTGTGCTTGTTCGACACTAGAAAGTCAACTGGTATACATCGAAGCACACTCAAGCTAGCAACTGTTGTAGCCCACTAAACAGTATACAGAATGCTGTTCAGTGAGAATATTACCTTCCGCAGATCAAATCCTGTCAGCATATAACATCAAAATAGGAATGATATTAAACAGACAACAGTTACGTTCCACTTTGTCTAGTGACTATATTGTATGTCTGATCTACAGCTAGTGAATAACTCAAAAACGATTAGACAACCAAATGGTTACCATCATGACAACCTTCATTGCCTAGTAGTAAAGCCATGGAAGTTTGGAGTTGAATTTTTTCAAGGTTGCATAATTGAGCACTAAGTTAGTTCATAGAACCTTTACAGTTGACTTGGTGTGAACAGATTCTGAAGTGAAGATAATTGTCGACTAATCAGATTACCCGGAGTGAACTGAAGAACACCACTAAAATTACTGTCAAGATGTAGATTAGAAATCTCATGATCAAAACGTCAGATAACAAAACAAAGAAGTAATCAACAAGAACACAAGTGAATAAAGTGACAACTAAACCTCTGGAAACTCCAAATTAACTGGCTGAGATAAAAAGTGAAAGCTTCCCAATTAGGCGACACAATTCAGAAAACACTCATAAGTTTACAGACTCCCTTCGTAGCATTCTATCCACCTTTACTCTCTGCGCTGTCACACAGTGTAATAACGTGATCTAATAGAACTCTTAGAAAGGATTAGAACGGACGCTATGGTCGTTAATCAAGAAAACCTTCAACTGAGCATAGATTAAGAGATTTATTACTGGAAAATATGTACATCATATAACTTTATATAAACTGTAGAAAAACGAATACATTCTGTGTTAAATACATTCCATCAATCCCAAAGACGAATATCTCCATCCCAACCAGCGGTAATCACTTTCGATGTTTCATGCGGCAACCAAGCACAATTGATACATACACCTTCGTGTGCTTTCCATTTTGTTAAAAGTCTTGTTGTCTTCCATTCCCACAAGCACAGATATCCATCACCATCACCAGAGATCACATAACGCATATCTGGTGACATATCCATTGTACATGCATAACCTGACACCATATGACCACGAAATATTTTCTTTCGCATACGTTTGAAACCAGCAAATATATTGAAAACAACTAATTGATTATCAAGCGACTGGCATATCAAATATTTTCCTGAAACGGTTAAAACAATGATGTTTATTTATTTACTCTTTTTCCTTTTGTGAAAATGGGGTAAACCAAACGCTAATAAAAATTACGAAATGTCGGTTTATTAGATTCAGTATACAGGAGACGCAGATCTATGGTTTAACTAATCTCCGATAAACTGAATTTTGAACTGATATATATGATAATAGGTGTGCTTCACTGTTGACCGAAGTAACACGATATTTGTGATAAGATAATGTTTAAAGCAGAAACGAAAACATGGGAATCCACAGGAAGAATTGCTTCAACAACCTTCGAGTAACTAGCCAGACATTGTACTAAGAGGGACTACCTACAGTACTCACTAAGCTTTCATTTCACTTAGATTATACAGTGTTTCACTCAGTTATGTGAGTAAATGTAATTATATGTTTATCATAACAATCGGTACCTATCTGGCAATGTATTCATATCCTGATTCCAACGATGAATTAGATATACGCAAAGCCATGTACCACTTATTCACATTTGACAATATTGCGAAAACCTCAGTGGTTGAAGTGAAATTAATACACGATCTCATAGTTCGGTTGCTAAAAAACTGAACAGTTAACCCATTGATATTACGAAGCCTGCCACAATGTACGTCCTTGTTCTAACTCTAAACACCATCAATTTGTACTAAACAAGACTATCAAATAAAAGCTATCTCAGATAATTAAAATAACGATACATAAACTCAGAGTATAGGCTTTTGTAGAGATATAGATTAATTTCAGTGAAGATTTAGTTATAAACCAGCAACAGTTAGAGAAAATTGAAAACTAAGGAGTACTGGATAGCTGTTTCGTTCCAGTTCGGGACTCCTCGTGAGTACTCAACCATGACCTCACCAAATGTCGAACCCATGGCATTCTGGTTAAGAGTTCAAGCTCCTCGACCAATAAACTACTTCGGCTAATTTAGAGAAGATATGTTGTCCAGTGAAAATGAACTTTTACACACAAGTCCAACTTTTTTAAAGCCATGCAGTCCTACTTCACACTTTTTAGCTTTGAGTGGTGGAGACTAAATAAAAAGTCAGACCTTTCTTGATAAAACTCTAGTTTCTTAAGCTGTGGAATGTAAGCTTCTACAAACTAAACGCCGCACGTACAAAATTTGATGTGATTGGGGTAAGGTAACAAATGCTTCTAAATAGCTCTAAAACAAGGTTTCAGTTAGAGAAGTTTTATTTTATGTTTGTCTACATGTTCGTTAGTGATGTGACCGTTCTGTTCTACACTATCACTATGAGACATGACCGCTGAGGGTGAAAGGTTAACGAGGATTACAAATCGCTAATTATATGCCCCCTACTAACAATATTCATGTGTTATGGAGTGGTGGAATGGATAACGTAGAGTTCTAAGTAAGGAAGAAATTTCGCTCAGTCACGTTTCACACCATCGATGAAGGTTGGTTGGAACTCGTGTTGAGATGCTTTAAGGAATGTTTCAGAAGCCATTACAATGATAGAAGTACACTTACTTTACGCTCCTAACTTTTAAATTTTCAAAGTCTTTTCACGGTCCACTTAGTTTTCTTCTGTAAACACTCTAATATCGCCTTTATTTACTTTTTCTTCCCGTCTGCACGTCTTTATATTTTTAATCTCAATAGATTTTTATACTGATACCATAGTAAAATTTGGGGGTCCAAGGGTAGCAACCCCACCCTGTAAACAAAATTGCTACAGAAACTTCAGCACAATGAACCTCTTTGCACCAAAAGAAAAAGTCTGTGTGGGGACATGGAACGTCCGAACTATGTACGAGACAGGGAAAGCTGCCCAGATCGCCAACGAGATGAAAAGATACGGAATACAAGTGCTGGGAATATGTGAAAGTAAATGGAATGGGAGTGGACTCACCAAATTGTCAACGGGTGAGTCAGTGATCTACTCCGGTCACCCAGAAGATAACCACACGCACACCGAGGGCGTGGCTATCATGATGTCACCAACGGCAACGAAAGCCCTGATACAATGGGAGGCGATTTCGTCCAGGATAATGACCGCCAGATTCAACTCCAAAGGAAGGAAAGTGTCAATCATACAATGTTATGCACCCACAAACAACGCAGACCTCGAAACGAAAGAAGAATTCTACAGGCAACAATGGACAATACTCCAGCTGGCGACATGAAAATACTAATGGGAGACATGAACGCCAAACTGGGACCAGACAACACAGGAAGGGAACTCATCATGGGTAGAGAAGCTCTCGGAGAAATGAATGAAAACGGAGAACTCTTCGCCGACTTCTGCGCCTTCAACGAACTAGTGATTGGTGGCAGTGTATACAAGCACAAAGATATCCACAAGGCTACATGGGTGTCACCAGACGGGCAAACCAAAAACCAAATCGACTTCATCTCAATCTCAAGGAAGTGGAGGCGCAGCCTACTGGACACAAAAGCAAGAAGAGGAGCAGACGTTGGCTCAGACCACTATCTCGTACAAGGGACAATCCAAATCAAATTAAAAGCTTTCAGGGAATCAGGAGCTGCAGATAGACCACAAGCCAAGTTCAACACTCAAAAGCTGAAGGACCAGGCTACAAAGGACATCTTCATTGCAAGCATAAAGGACAAAGCCGAGACACAAATCAACACTAGCGAAGAGGTCGGCGTTGAAAAGCACTGGAACAACTTGAAAACGGTGTGGAGCCAAACCTGCATAGAAATTCTAGGCAGAAAAAAGAGACAGGACAAACAGTGGCTCACTACGGACACTTGGAAACTAATAGAAGAGAGAAGGACAGTGAAACAAAAGATTATCCAGTGCACGACGAGCAACAAAAACAGGAGCTGAATGCAAGCTACAATACACTGAACAAAAGAGTGAAGAAGAGTGCCAGGGAAGACAAAAGAAAATATTATGAAACCATGGCAAACGAAGCAGAACAAGCTGCAGGCAAAGGAGACCTCGCCACACTCTACCAAACAACTAGGCACCTATCGGGCAAACGTTCGACACAGATTAAGCCAATAAAGGACGACAATGGAAAGTCAATCACCAAAGAGGTGGAACAGAGAAAGCACTGGGCTGAACACTTCAAAAGACTTCTAAATCGTCCGCCACCTACAACGCGCCCAACAATACCAACAACGGAAGCAGAACTACCAGTGAACACTGACCCCCCGACGAAATCAGAAGTCCTGAATGCAATCAAGATGCTAAAAGCTGGGAAAACACCACGACCAGATGGAATCCCAGCAGAAGCTTTGAAAATAGACCCAGAGACAACAGCGGACTTGATGACACCACTGCTGGAGAAGGTGTGGAAAGAGGGCAAAGTACCCGAGGATTGGAAGAAAGGATACTTATTCAAACTTCCAAAGAAAGGAGACTTAAGTCAATGTAAAAACTGGCGTGGAATTATGCTTCTGTCCATTCCAAGCAAGATACTAAGTCGCATCATCCTGGAGAGAATCAAACAAGCCCTAGATGAAAAACTTCGTCCGGAACAGGCCGGATTCAGGAGAAACAAATCATGTATTGATCAAATCGCCACTCTACGGATCATCATTGAACAAAGCTTGGAATGGCAGTCACCTCTCTATCTCAACTTCATCGACTTTGAAAAGGCCTTCGACAGCGTCGATCGAGAGGTCATTTGGAAACTACTTCGCTACTACGGGGTCCCATCGACAATTATACATCTCATCCAACAGTTATACGACAATGCTGCATGCCAAGTAATCCACAACGGGAAACTTACGGAAGCCTTCGAAGTGAAGACGGGAGTGAGGCAAGGCTGTCTACTATCACCAATGATCTTCCTGATTGCAATTGATTGGATAATGCGACAGACAACGGCAACCAACGAGGGAACAGGCATAAAATGGACTGACACAAAAGACTTGGAGGATCTGGATTTCGCCGATGATATATGTCTGATTTCCCACAAACTGGAAGATATGCAAGTGAAAAGTAACAAGTTGGCAGAAGAAGCATCAAAGATAGGACTTCACGTGAACATAGATAAAACAGAGGTGATGAAGATTCCTGGCCAACATCAACAGCAACAACAACAGACAACAATCAGCATAAATGGGAAGAACCTGAAAGAAACAACCTCCTTCACCTACCTGGGAAGCATCGTCTCAACTACAGGCGGAACTGACGAAGACATCAAAGCCAGAATCGGAAAAGCAAGACAAGCTTTCATTACTCTCAAATCTGTGTGGAGGTCAACAGCACTCAGCATCAAAAATAAGATCCGGATTTTCAACTCCAATGTGAAGTCAGTGCTACTATACGGATCAGAGACTTGGCGAGTCATAAAGAGCATCTCAAACAAACTTCAGACCTTCATTAACAGTTGTCTTCGCTCAATACTCAAGATCAGATGGCCAGAAAAGATCAGCAACAGGGATCTCTGGGAGCGAACCAATCAGGAACCGATTGTGAAACAAATAGGCAGGAAGAAATGGAGATGGATTGGCCATACTCTGAGGAAACCATCAAGTGACATCACTAGACAAGCCATCGCTCGAGTGGAACCCGAAAGGGAAGCGGCGAGTTGGTCGTCCAAGGGGGTGACTTGGAGGAGGTCATGCGAGGAGGAGATGAAAGCATGTGGACAGACCTGGAGCGGGGCGAAAAAGTTGGCAGAAAACAGAAGGCGATGGAGGTGCGCAGCTGAAGCCCTATGTTCCTCTAGGAACTAAAGGATACAATAATAATAATAATAATAATAATAATAATAATAATAATAATAATATGATGATGATGATGAACCTACCACCCGATTTTTGTGATAAAAAATGTAGGACATCATTCATCCCACTCCACCCAATTCTGTTTGGGGAAGTGAATAGTATAATCATCAATCACACGGTAAGTATGGCTCAGTCTGGTACATTGAAATACACGCTCTGGCTAACTCAGTTCAAACCGACAAACTCTTGCTAAAAGGAGATGTTTTATCGGCTTAGTTACACAACTTTAAATCAGTGGATCACGTTTAAACGCCATATGATGACTGAACGAATTCTGAACAACCTAACAGAGTTATTAGCTTTCAGATAATCATGTAAAATATTACTAGGAGATCGAATGAGCATCGCAGTCTACCTGTATTTTTCTTTTCTCCTCTAATGCAACGATCAACCAGACTAAAATTAGATTTAGAACACAGCACATGGTATGGAAAATAAATAAGCCTTGAATAATAAACATTTGAAAATATTACCTAACTCAATATTTTATGAAAGTAGCAAATGCACAAGTCATAAAATCAAGCTATTTCTAAAGAGAGTGGACTACCACTTAAACCATTTGTGTGTGTGTCACTACGCCAATATGTTAACACTCACTTCCCAATAGCACACAAATGTGTATGACTAGGATTCACATCTATTGTACAAGAGATGACGATACTATTTGGCTATTCAAATATTAGTGGTTGGTAATGGAGTTCGAACTCTAAAACACTAACGACTATACGTAAACAAACATACTTTGACAAAAGGCATCAAATACAACAGCAAATATGCATAAAAGTAAGTAAAAGTACTCAGGATATTTTAACATACCGTTTGGTGATACAGTGACAGCTGGCATTGAATGTAAAGATGGATCAGCAAGATACTTAAAGTCTACGGGTATATCCCATTCCCAAACACGTAGAGATTTATCATCTGATGTGGATACAAATCTACGATTATTATCCACAAATGCAACTGCATTCACAGCTCCTAAATGACGATCATATTGTTGAACAACTTCACCGCTACGTGTATCGTACTGTTGCATTGATTTTTTTTTCACAGAGCAAAACAGGAGAACAAAGTATACGGAAAGGGATAAATATTTAGTGACTGGCGTACATATAAAAGGCAACAAACATGAAAGTAACCAATGCAATCAGGTCATTTGATTAAGAGGTTTGTGAAAACTAAACCGGTCTACATCAGCTACAGAACCAATAAAAATAAAGGAATACTGAGGGTATAGTTCGTTTTCGTTTGTGACTACGGTTTTAGAAGTGCATAATCACTACCTCATACTGAGACCACACAGTTTTGGCCACCGAATCATAACCTAATAGCCCTATTTTCTCCCTATATATTTTAAATTAATTAGGACGGATACGCTTCTTTGTTAATCGTGAAGTAGTGACGTATGCATGCTTTGTTATGATAACCTTATTGGACAGTTTTCCTTCGTTAATTTATGAAGTAACTTTCTGAGGTCATACAACCAGACAGATTTGCCTAGGTTATGGCTAAAACTTTTGAGGTTTTGTAAATATAAGATATCATTTATTTTGTTTTATAAAGTTGTTGTCGTTAGAGTCATCGTCTTTCCAGTTTTACTTCTGTCTGTCTCCGTGAGGGAGATAATTCTAAGTGACCAGCTGGTGTTCTAGAGGTGCATTCCAGTCAAGCCAAACGAACCCACAACTCCGTATCACTCCGTCATAACTGTGCGTCGGTGGCACAGTGGTTAGGACTCTCGCCGACCATGCACATGGTCCGAGGTTCGATTCCCCGCCGACGCACACCTGATATCTATGGTCGGCCTGCCAAATTTGGGCTACCGATATCTATGCTGAAAATTCCATACTTTTACCAGAAATACAGTGTGGAATCAAGCTGTAATAAAAAATCTCCCAAAGAAGTGGATCTGAAATTTCACCTCCAATTGTAGAACTTACAAATATACCTGATTTTAAACTCCTACATATGTGGTGAGAGCAGGCTGCTAGCCAAATTGGTAGACAATTATTTGCGTCAATGTTTATGTCGCAAATATTGGTCGTGAGAAAATATAAACAAGACTGGTTCAACAACCAATCACAGCAGACTTTGCGTAGGCAGATACAGTTAACATATAGATGACCTGACATTCAGGAAACAGTCAGAAGAGATGCAAGGTCAGCTTTCTGTGAGAAACAACCAATCAGAAGAGTGTTTGTTTGCTTGAATAAGCTATAATAATGTACATGAAAATATATAAATACGTGTTCATTTCCTTAATAAACCATGTGTTGCCTGGCCCTTGTCTTCTCTTGTTACACATATACTTGCTATGAATTAAATTAAGAACTTCACACCAATTAAAAATAACTATGACAATAGAGGGTGAAATAAAACACATACTCCTTCACTTACACATAATATTTTTTTATCTGAACACCCAGCTAAGAAGAGATGTTGTTTATCATCATCTGGATTAAAGCGAACACAATAAGCAACACGTTTCAAATTGAATTGATTTGTACACTTGCCAACTTCTGTATCCCATAATTTAACATAACGATCATATGATGCACTCAAAAAAGATGTACCATTGTTATTAAAGCATACATCACGTACAGCTTGACGATGACCCATATAACTTCGAATAAGTCTGCGTTCTTTGTACAACTCCCACAGCTTGATTTAAGGGTAAAAGCATAAATCGATTAGGAACTCTATGCAAGATTATTAGATTACGAAGTAATGTCTTTTGGTCACAAATCACAATTACCTATGAAATGACTGGGAATCAAGGAGCACTAGACAGATCTTGTTGCTAACACTTCAACACCATGACATCTACCATTTCATTCACAACTATACCCGAAAGAGTCACCACAGAGTCGAAACCCAATATACCTGACCTTTCCAGAACTTTTCTCTTTAAAATATGACGGATCCAACCTTTTATCCCACAAGGAATATGAAGTAGGAATTGCTACATGGTGACAAATTTGTATGAAATAATTGACCAATGTTTCTTGATTTTTACATTCATTGGATGTTCATTTTCAGTCACAATTTGTTCTCGGTTAATAAGCAAGACAAACTCTTATTTTTAAAGTACCTACAGAACATATGTCCACTTATGTTTATTGTTACCTGTAACTAAACAGTAGTTAAGAAGTCAGATTCTTAGTAATAAATATAAACTGTGAAATAATACTCCTGCAGTGACTACAAAGGGAAAGAGTTGTGCGTTGAACTCCCACAAAACGGAGATAACAGACTACTCTTTCTAAAAATATGAAAATTATCGTACAACTTCGACAATTTATGAATATATGGTAGAAAGAGAAAATAAAATGTTTTAAGCTTATTGTTAAGAGGCAACATTTAACGCGTTTACACTGAGTTGCTTCCTACGCTGTGGATTACGTTGGAACCCCTTTTAATGTCGTGCTGAAAATTTTCATCAGAGAGATCTCATGGGGAATCCCATGTACATTTATAACAGCATACCTAAATTGAATTTAAATCGACTGATCATTTTATCAACGAACTGGGAAATTTTTCAGTAAAACTTCTCATATTAAATGGAGTTGCGTTATGAACTAGTTTCCTTTCTTAGACTGAACCACTCTGTGGTCGTGTTTTTTATTCAACGACTCACGTGAAAAGATTTATGTTGGGTTTGATCGCAGACTTATAAGTCTCCAGAGGGCAAAAGTTCCACCACCACCATTGACTTAACCCTATAGTCTAGGCTCAATGTATGCAGGTAATCCTGACCACATCTATTGATGACCTTTACTTTGGATGCATCTAATGTTTTCTTACATTTGGTTCTCATCTCCGAATCGAACAATGTTTACAATTTAAATCAATATGATGAGTTATTCCAAACTTACTTCCATGCCACACTCCAAAAAAAGTAAATATCCATCCCGTCAAATTACTTCACTTCATTTTGGTTTCCAGGTATTTGATCAGTTTCAAGTTACACCACGAAGCGAAATCAGTTAAGGAGTAACCACGTATCAAATTAAAAGGAAACAATAACAGTGTACTTGTACACCTCTTACCTTTATCTTTGTATCCATCCCAGCAGACAACATCAAATGACCTGTCTGAGGAAATAGTCGAACAGCAGCAACTCCACGAGCATGTGCATTGACCCATGCATGAATTTGTTTCTTAGGTAAAAAGCATCTTTCTGGGGGATCAGTTGCTCGAAGATTGACATTAGGAATATCATGTGGCGCATGCAAAAAGTTTCGTCCCTATTAAAACATAATAAAAGGAAATCAGAGAAATTTAATGCCATACACAACAATGACTTATCTCCTTAGACCCATTGGTTGTAAGTGTAGGTAAATCAATGAATAACACCTCTACCTACCTCTGCAATATTAATGTTCTCAATTGGTGAAAACGGTGTGAAAGTTGCCAGGCTAAAAACTATAGAAACGTTACTGATAATACTGAGTTTGGCTGCTAGGTAGGATTTCATACACACCATCACGAATTTTTTTGGATGAGGACGAAGTAAAGATTTTCGAGCAAGATGATACCTCAGTTATACTTTACCTGATTCCAAGTGAATATAGAGCTGAAATCAACTACACGTTCAATCACTCCAGGGCGAAATGGAGAATAACAAATTAATATATGTGTAAAACTTGGACACTGTGGTAGTAAGTAATTCCATATTAGTTTGTTTACTGGTGTTTACAGGAAATACACACATTCAAACAGATATTTGGACTTCCGATCATCCCATCCTATGTCAGTAAAAATAGAATTGGTGAAATGTTTAAGTGACAGAGTACAAAAACTAAGTAGTACCAAGGAAAATCTAAGACAGGAAGTGATACACATAAAAGAAGCCTTGAAACTTAGTGATTACTCGGATAAATTAGTCAGGAAATATGTAAGAAAATGTAAAAATAAAATAAATAATGATAGTAGCGACAGTGATAATAATAATAATAATAATAATAATAATAATGACGATACCAACAATAAGGAATCTAAATCATCAATAGTAATTCCACACAAGGAAGGAACCTCGGAAACCTTACGCGGAATTCTTAACAAGGCAGAAATTATAGTGGCTGACATTCAAACACACAAACTCTGTTTGAAACAAACCTTGTCGGTTAAAGGATCAATCCTGTGGAGCCCTTAAAAAGGTTTAGTTTATCTAATACTCTGTCTGCAATGATTGTCAGGTCAAATACATAGGTCAAACTAGTAGAACAGGGGCTGTCAGACTAGCCGAACATAAAAACCTAGCAAAATCTAGATTGGTTGACCCAAAATAAGATAAGAAACCTAGAGGATATTTCAGCTATCGCACTACATGCAGTTACACACAACCATAAAATAGGCTGGATGGGATAGGATGACAGTTTTAAAATCTAATGTCACAGGGTGGAGGGAGAGATTGATAACAGAAGCTTTGTTTATCGAATCAGCTGTAAATATATGTAATAGGAATGATTCAACACCTGTCCACCCTGACATCTGGAAAATTCTAATACCCCTACGACAAATGGGAGAAGACAAAGAAAACTATAAAACTCAAGTTGCGAAATCGTGTGATTACAATTGATATGATTATGAGCAATAAATTTTGATCGAAACGTCATCCAGTAAATAATACTGCTTCACTGTGTGATACATCTGATAAACAAACTAATAGAGAATAACAAATATTTACCACCACTGCGTAACAATTCAAATCGCTACAGCTTATATCTTCAAATCAAGGAAATGTTAGTGTGAGGTAAGACACCAACATGAAACTCGTGCAACAAGAGGTTGCAGGATGCATAAGACAAATGAAAACATTTAAAGTAAAAAGTAAGAAGAAGAAGAGACAGGACAAACAGTAGCTCACTACATAAACATGGAAACTGATAAAAGAAAGAAGGATGGTGAAACAAAATATCATCCGGTACATCGACGAGCAACAAAAACAGGAGTTGAATGCAAGCTACAATACACTGAACAAAAGACTAAAGAAGAGTGCCAGGGAAGACAAAAGACTATATTATGAAACCATGACAAGCAAAGCAGAACAAGCTGCAGGCAAAGGAGACCTCGCCACACTCTACCAAACAACTAGGCACCTATCAGGGAAAAGTTCAACACAAATTAAACCAGTGAAGAGCGACAATGGAAAGTCAATCACCAAAGAGGTGGAGCGAAGGAAACACTGGGCTAAACACTTTAAAAGATTTCTAAATCTGCCACCACCTACAACGCGCCCAATAATACCAACAGCAGAAGTAGAATTACCACTGGATACCAATTTTCCAAAGAAAGCAAAAGTCATGAAGGCTATAATAATGCTACAAACTAGAAAAGCAGCAAGACCTTGCATAAGCATTGAAAATGGATCCAGAGACATCAGGAGACTTGATGACACTACTGCTGAAGGTGTGGAAAGATGGTAAGGTATCTACGAATTGGAGGAAAGGCTACCTATTCAAACTGCCAAAGAAAGGAGACTTAAGTCAATGCAAGAGTTGGTGTGGCATTATGCTCCTGTTTATCCAAAGCAAAATACTAACCCGCATCACACTGGAGAAAATCAAACACGCCCTGGATGAAAAACTGCGACCCGATAAGACTGAACTTAGGAGAAACAAATCATGCCTCGATCAAATCGCAACACTACGTATCATCACTGAACAGAGCTTGGAATAGCAGTCAGCTCTCTGCCTCAACTTCATTGACTTTGAAAAGGCCTTCGACAGCGTCGATCGAGAGGTGATATGGCAACTACTCCGCTACTACGGGGTCCCATCGACAATTATACACCTCATCCAACATTTATACAACAATGCTGCATGCCAAGTGATCCACAAGGGGAAACTTACGGAAGCCTTCAAAGCGAACACGGGAGTGAGACAAGGCTGCCTACTATCGCCAATAATCTTCCTGATCGCGGTAGATTGGATAATGTGACAGACACCAGGCAACGAGGAGAGAAACAAAAAATGGACCCAAACAAAAAAACTTGGAGGATCTGGATTTTGCCGATGATATATATCTGATTTCCCACAAACTGGAGGATATGCAAATGAAAAGCAACAAGTTGGTGATAGAAGAAGAATCAGAGATAGGACTCGAAGTGAACATAGAGAAAACAGATGTGGTGATGATGAAGATTTAGATATGATAGAGAAGATTTGTAGCTCAGGTGGATGATTTTGATGTGGTTTTGTTCTCTGAGCTCAGAGAACAAAACCACATCAAAAAAAGATGATGAAGATTCCTGGCCAACAGCGACAAGAACAACAAACAACAATCAGCACAAATGGGAGAAATCCGAAAGAAGCAACATCCTTTACATACCTGCGAAGCATCGTTTCAACTACAGGCGGACGGAACTGATGAGGATATCAAGGCGAGGATCAGGAAAGCAAGGCAAGCTTTCATTACTCTCAAGTTTATGTGGAGGTCAACGGCACTCAGCATGAAAAATATGATCTCAATTTTCAACTCCAATGTGAAGTCAGTGCTATTATATACTGATCAGAGACTTCGAACAAGCCACAGACCACCAACAGCTGTCTTCGCTCAATACTACTACGCAAGATGAGATGGCCAGAAAAGACCAGCAGTAGGAATCTCTGGGAGCGAACCAACTCGGAAGGAACCAATTGTGCAACAAATATGCAGGAAGAAATGGAGGTGGATTGGCCATATTCTGGGAAAACCATCAAGCGACATCACATGCAAGGCCATCGCCCGAGTGGAACCTGAATGTGAAGCAGTGAGTTGGTCGTCAGTGCTAGGGTGACATGAAGGAGATCATACGAAGAGGAGATGAGAGCATGTGGGCAGATGTGGAGATAGGTGAAAACGTTGGCGAAGAACATAACACAATGGAGACGTGCAACTGAAGCCCTATGTTCCTCTAGGAACTAAAGGGGACAATAATAATAATAGTAAGAAGAAGAAGCAGAATATAAGTATGCGTCTGTGCCACTGCGTTAAATTCTGAACCGGTGTCATGTAGTCTGTAACGTGGATTCAAACCTGACAACTTACGCTTCTTAACAAAACTCAAGCCAACAGTTAACTACTTTTGCAGCTGATACAATTACATCCAACTCTCTCTCAAAAGTGACCATATTTCATCTAGTATTTCATAGTGGGAACGACGCTGGGCAAGCCTCTTCTACTTAGGGTTGTGGAGGTTTAAAATCTGATCCAATATTACTTAGAATTTCACATCTAACGTGGATATTTTCCCATTACACGTAGACAGGTGTATGATTGTGACCAAATACTTTTAGACCTATACGACTTATGTGCACATCAGCTTAATCACTTGACTTTTAACTAAAGGGTCACGGGTTCAGTCTGCACTTCACCCGTTTAAATCTGAACCACCTGGTAGTGATTTATGATCCTATACATATTCTATTCAGCTTCTAATCTGTTAATGAGTAAGAGTTACGTTCATCTCATATGACTAAAGATAACATGAGAATGCTTACCTGATAATCGAATGGAGTCGATATGTGTAGTGTAGACTTTTCTTCGACAGGCGCCTCTTCGACAACCCGTCGTTTACTAGCTTTTTTAGCTAAATAAGCTTCTAAGTAAACACGATCTTCTTCAGATGGCACTGAAACAGTAACTTCATCTTTATACTTGGCCCACGGTCCTGTATAGTCTTCACTTGTTGGATCCCAATTACTGTCACGTTTACGTATATCACCTTTACGTTTTTCGCGTTTTTCACATATTGTCTTGCCTATACGTAATGATAAATCGTCAAGTCAGTAAATAACACGTAAAATATACACAGCATCTAAAATTCTATATATTATAACTCATTTATGAATCGTGAAAAAACGAGTCTTATATTCAATCATAAGAATCAAATTGCTACTTAGTAAACGATGTAGCTCTTACTCTCCACATTAACACCGCCAATAGATACACTATTCTGAATTGCATCTCTTTGTGTAAAAGCAATAATTTGGCCGCATAAAACACATAAAAACACCGAGTGGTGAAAAGCTGATTCACATTCCCCATTGCTGTTCAGTCCAAAGAGTTTGGAGATCATTAAAACTCTTGAGAACAAGCCACATTCAACTTTTGTGAGGACTAATGACACCACTATCCTTGTACAAACTTCAGTGGTCTCGAAAATTTTCGAATCGATAATTCATTAGTTAAAATGAGAGTACTAAATAGATGAACTTTTTTTTACTGAAAAGTACTGCGATGATATTTGACTGATAGGGGATGCTAAATTAAATTGGGAATAATAAATATCAAAGCTGAGGTTAGTAGACATCTAGTTTCAGTATTGCCTAGCCTGAATTTCCTGTGAACACGACTTTTAATGTCAATCCATGTGTTATTCATCTTGTACATGAGAGAAGTAATTCAATAAAAGATATCTGAAACGTTCTGAATTTCGAAGATTATAAGATACCACTTCATTTGACTTTTGAGTCAAAATACAAAGTTTCCAAACAATATTTGCTAATATATCAAGGAACCCAGTCAAGAAATCTACACTTAGGTGAGTGATTCACACCAACAGTCAGAAACTCTATAAAGAAAAAATCAAACGCTTTCTAAGTATTAATAAGTACAATTCCAATTTTATCGTTCAACCTGACCTAGAAAATAACTGATTTTAAACCATTTTGAATATTCATTCAAAAAAAGCTTGAATAACAGTTACTTGTGTTGGAAGACTGCTAACATCCAGCGAACCATGAATTCTGTTTATCTCAAAAATCACGAGCATTTTTGTGCACTTAGCAATGAGTCACATCTGTTCTAGTACTGAGCGATGCTACAAGCTTGAAAAACGATGACCAGGTGACCGGATAGCGAGCAAATAAATCAGTCAACCAACCTTTCTGAGTAAGAACCTGATAAAAACAAATACACTAATAAATTGCTAGAACAAGACAGAATTTTCCCATGAGTTTTGATGTAAGTTTATGCCTAAGACGTAGAGAAAAAATCGCTTAAAGTACAAGTAAAGCAGACGTTCGCTTACCCAGTTATTTGACTTTTAAACAGTTAAGTATAAGCCCAAGTCAAGTTTTGGTTAGATTCGCTTAGAAAACCACTACTAAGATGGTGAAGTTTTCTAGTGGAAAATCTTGTGAAAGATTATGATTTGCACTGCAGTAAAAACATGCCAAATATTTACAATGAAGTCACAGAATTTCATATTTTAAAACTCAGTAACCAAATGGCAAACTGGAACGAGTATCACAATCAATATACGCGCAAAAATGGGTTATTTTCGAGTACGTGAAAACGGCTATGAAATAATGAGCCACAGAATTGGTTATCCCTTTCTTTGAGAAATGTATGAATTCCTTGGAGTTAAATACTATTAAAGAACCAACTGCACTTTAAGGTACGCACTATCGAGCAGTAATTACACACTGTAAACAATTTTTTATTTCCTTACGTTCCAAGTGGAGCATAGGGATTCAAGTTAGAATTATGAAGCTTAGGTAGCAGTGATTTTTAACTTCAACTTCCTTAGTTCCTAGCTTCTACATATGACTTCTCAACTCCTTAAAAACGAAACTATCATTAAGTCAAGTTATAAGAAACTTAGTAAGAAGGAATTACTTTGGTTAAGAATTACCAAAGACTTAAACAAACAAAACCAAATGAAGCACTATTCACACTACTCACCATCATTCTCGGACATTTTTTCTGTTTCGCCAACCAAACGTCGCTCAGCACCTCCTTCAACAGATGGATCCTCAGCATAACCTATTGTAATTCGAATAAAAAAACCATCAACCTACCATATGTCATAAATGTTCGGTGCTGATTTTCGAAAGCAAACATATTGACATGAGCTTCTTCAACACAGCCCGTCAAGGTATTCTTGGGTGCTAACTGCTTCTCAGATTTGAAAGGGTTAACTGGGCCGAACTAATATAGTTCAAAAAATCTTAATTACGTGGTGGAAGTGACTTACGGATGGTGCAAATAACTCTTCATATGTAGGATTATGAACAAGTTCACGGGTATGAGGATCAACAGGTATAATTGATAAAAATTCATCCTAGAAATTATACATATGTTTAGCCAAAAAATTCTACCTTATGTTCCACAACTGGAGCAACATCAACTGATTTAATTAAGCTGCTTTTCAAAAGCTCAGCTGGGGGAGGATCTGGTTTATGAATATCATCATCAGAGGATGAAGAATCATAAGTAACAATAGTATCCATTTTTTTCCAAAAAGACCACCTTATATCTCGATTTGATGACTTTTCAATTGGGAAGTAATTAAGATGAAGGCATGTAGAGTTTAATCAGGTACCTTCAAAATAAAAAACAAGAAAAGTTAAAATGTACACTAACTACATTAAGTTCTTAATTACAGATTATTCATTTCCGCACGATTAGCTGTTATGTTGCCTGACTGACAAGCGAAAAAACAGCAGCTGGAATTACCAAACTACTTAACAGCATACAAAAATCTAGAGAACACAGAGTAAATGCCATAATGGGAAAACATAAGAGTGCAGCAATAGTTGGATGGAGGTTGGTAAAAATATTCTCAATTTTGAAGAACTTATTCGACAAATGTATCTGCACCATTGTAGACGACTTTGATCCACATCACCTAGCGCCCAACCATTCATTTTCATTTTTCTGAGGGCTTCAAGTGGGTAACCCATATGCATAAAACTATATAATTCTGATTGGCTGAGATTAGTTGTGGTACACCACTCTCATCAATCAATAGTGCTTACTAGCCAAATCGAGGTGATCTAAACACCAGACAGCCATTTCACTCCTCCGCGGGACGAGCTCATCAACGGTGTACCCGTTTTGATCCAGCTCGCGGAGCCGAATAAGTTCATATCACTCGATTTCTGGCTAGCTACTTGAGTAAGTTGCGATGAATATACCGTTGGTAACAGGAAAGGATAATGAGCATAATCAGAGGAAATAAGATAAAAAACATAAGTGATGATCGGACTCTGAGCATATCTTTAAAAGTGTACAAATGATAGACATTACATGGAAGCTGATATTCTACAGTGAAGTGACCAGAATAATTATATTTACATAGCTGCATATGTATTCGGAAGGTTTTCAATACAGGGAAACCCAAGAACCGCGTAGAATACCTAGGCTTGAGAATTGGTTTTTAACGTTTGCAGAATAGAGAAGTCATACAAGTAGAATGATGGCCACCTTGAAAAAACATTACCTCTAGTGCATTCCCATGTAGCAATAGTGAACAATGAGTTCACTACACCAAAAACAGTGGATTCAAAAGTATGCCCATAAAGACGTGATGATTTCTCAGTGATACCTATGTTGTGAGCCTACAGGACTGGAATATATCAACTTCTAGCTTAAAAATATAGAGTGAAGTGGTAGAGCCTATTGATCACTTCGCCTATTTACGAAGTTGCATCGGCCCCTACGGGCTGACCACTGGCGAAATCTGAGCACGGATACAAAAGGCTTTTGTGGCATTTGCCAACTTAAATTATTTCTGGTGCAGACATGATAAGCGACTATAGATCAAAGGACATGTATACTGCTCAGCAATTCGCTCTATCCTCATTTATGGCTGAGAGACATGACCACTGAGTGGAAGACATGAAAAGGTTAGCTGTCTTTGATCATATGTGTCTGCATTCTATCTCCCACGTTAGGTGGTATAATAGGGTGAGTAATGCTGAGGTTAGGCGTAGATTGTTAGTTAAGGAGGGGAAATCTATAGACGAGGTTGTGAAGCTACATCGACTGAGGTGGTTAGGAAGGGTGTTAGGCGTGCAATGTTGGCTGATACAGGCTCAAGTTGGGAAAGATCTAGTGATGGTCTGACGAAAACATGGCATCAGTCCATGAAATTTATAACAGTTACTTTAAGCCACGCAAGGAGAGGTATACTGCTTGGTTGGGGTCCTTGGGATTCTATGAACCAATGGCTGGAGACAGTTGGTGATAAGCTCAATACCGTTCTCAATGGCGCAGCTACATTCATTCTCTGTGACTTGTTACATCCAAAAAACCCTATTGTTTTTCCATGATACTATTCTTTGTCCTTTACATTTCTGCTCATTATTGTTTTTCCGAAACACGTTTCCCTTGTCTTCCTTTGTGCGCTTCATTAAGTGTTGCAACTTGGACTTCTGTGCACAGTTCTATTTTAAAACCAGTCAGTCAGTGTAAGCCTATGAAACTAATAAGCCATGGGATGAGATTTGCTTTGTGTACAAAAGATGTTTTTTGAATAACGGTAGTCCTAAAATCAGCTTGCTATGTACTATATTGTGACTGTTTATACAGTGAACTTGAGATTTTTATTACTTTTATCTGGCGAGGATTTCAAAGTCGTTGTAATAAAACGGATAAACTACTTATTTTATTTATAATGACTAAATGACGACTGTATATCTACCTCAAACTGGCGATACAACATGAAGTCTACATTTGACGAATACAGTATTACGTCACAAGAAGTCTAAAATCACTCTAGTTATAATGAAAACTAGGGACTTATAGAAAGGAAGGTATAGCAGGTAACTTATTTACTTTTGTTGCTACAAGTACTTACGGGAAAGCTAAGCAGACAACGAAAATCTTGAAATGGCCTACAAAACAACATCCAATCTTACATCTGTATCCAACGAAAATTGAACTAGTACCGAAGCAACTAAAAATTATGTAATTAGTGATGCGTACGTTAAACTTTTGAGAAATTCTGCAGTACTAAATGCGTACATTGATGAATAGTCCATCACAAATGACCAAGAACCCCAGGTCGTATTTTTAACCAGATTATAGTTCGGAATTTGCGGATTCCCCAAATTACATTAGTCGTTAGAATATAACACAACAGATTCCAGTGACGATACTTAAGCTATTTGTTAGAATTCAGTTGCCCGTATCAGATGCTTCATGTGGTAGGTTGTGTGCCAAATTTTGTAAAATGTAACCAATAACTATTGAGTTAATGGTTCGGTGTTCATTTCATCTTATTGACTTTCTTTATCCTGGACTACAACAGCCTACAGTAAATATTTTAAATACTCATCTTATGACAGAGAACATAATTTAGGGGAACCATATTTTGGTAACTCCATCAGACTTTACAATTGTATAATAAAATTATTAGACATAGGCATCTGATATCAGTATGGTAGACAGGATTAGGTATGACAATGATAACACGGATAAATTCGTACAACTGTCTATATAATCTCCGTAGTCAATCATTGAGACTGTCTCTGTTTTCGACATAGAACTTTGTACATATGTGTGGCAGTTCAAGTCGCCACACTCCGTGTAGTACACAAAGCAAGAGAAGAAAGTACAAGAAATGCATAATAGAGACAGTAAACAGAAGTGTGGGACAAATGAATAGTAATAGGGAAGAACAAAACAGTTTCATTGGGAATCAAAGTTACAAGGAGTGTATGCATCTGCGCCATTGAGAACGATTTTGAGCCATGTCACCAATTGTTTCCAACCATTGGTTTTTACCGTCCCGAAGACCCCAACCAGGAAGTCTACACCTTCCTACGTGGCTTAAGCTAACTGTTGTAGATTTCACTGACTGGTGCCATGTTTTGGTCTGACCGCCCCTAGCTCTTTTCCAGCCTGACCCTATGTCAGCTAACATAGCCCGTCGAGGAAGTAATTCTCTAATAATCTTAAGCTCCTCATTGAAGCAGTCATCTGAACAGATTAACCTAGCTCTATGAACCAGAAACTTTACCAGGTTACGTTTATATTTCAAAGGTACAAAACTCCAAAAATCAGTGTACTGTTCCATGTTAAAAGCCAGCAGTTATTGTCTTAATTCCTTTTCTTATCTATTTTTTATCACCCTTTCATTTGCTTTTAGACTTTGCCTACTTACGACTAAAAAGTAGTAAATTTATGGTTCTTTTAAGACTTTGTTGCCCCTCAGTCATAGGTATTGATTTCCACTTCACCTAATATATAAAGATTGTATTTAGTCTGACGTAATTACCTCCAGATTACTAGCTTGCTAGTTTTCTAGCCGGTCCCAAGCCCGGATAAAGAGGGAGGGTTGGGGCGTGGTGTCAGCAACTCCACCCCCATAAAACTACCAAATCGCTACAGAAACTTCAACGAATAAATATATTAAAAATTCTAAAAACATAAACAATAGCCTTATTTTCGCTGGAATCGGGGAAGTGAAATGACACAGGCTGGTGAAAGCCTTCAGGAAGCCAGTCAGCCGATGTGCCTTCTTTCGATGAAAGCAAAAGTAAGGATGGGTACCTGGAATGTTCGTACAATGTACGAAACTGGAAAGGCTGCCCAGATAGCCGCTGAAATGAGAAGGTACAGAATAGAAGTGTTGGGAATCTGCGAAAGCAGACGGAACGGAACTGGAAGGTGCCAACTACCTACTGGAGAGACAGTAATCTCTTCCGGCCACCCAGAGGACAACCACGAGCACACCGAGGGAGTGGCCATCATGATGTCACCAACAGCAGCCAAAGCTCTCATGCAGTGGGAACCAATCTCCTCCAGGATAATGACAGCCAGGTTCAACTCAAAAGGAAGGAAGCTTACAGTCATTCAATGCTGTGCGCCTACAAACGTCTCAGAACAAGAGAAGAAGGAGGCGTTCTACAGACAACTACAAGCAATAATGGACAACGTCCCAAATGGCGATATCAAAATCCTGATGGGCGACATGAATGCGAAGCTGGGAGGAGACAATACAGGAAGAGAACTCACCATGGATCGAGAGGCCCTCGGTGAAATGAACGACAGTGGTGAACTCTTCTCAGACTTCTCCGCCTTCAATGATTTGGTGATTTGTGGTAGTGTGTCCAAACACAAGGATATACACAAGACGACATGGACTTCACCAGATGGAAACACCAAAAACCAAATAGACTTCATCTCAATTTCAGGAAAGTGGAGACGGAGCCTACTGGACACAAGGTCGAGGAGAGGAGCAGATGTGGGTTCAGACCACTATCTAGAACAAGGGACTTTCAAGGTGAAGCTAAAAGCCTCGAGGATACTAGGGGATAGGTCGCAATGTAAGTTCAACACTCAGTTACTGAAGGACACAACAACAAAAGACACTTTCACTGCAACTGTCAGAGCAAAGCAGGAAACACTACGCGACATCACTGAAGAAGCATGTGTGGAAGAACATTGGAAGTCTCTGAAGGCGATTCTCAACGAAACGTGTTCAACGGTTCTAGGAAGAAAGAAGAGACAAGACAAGGAATGGCTCTCAACGGACACTTGGAAACTAATAGAAGAGATGAGGATGGTGAAAGAGAAAATGATTCAATGCAAGGACGGACAGGAGAAGGAGACGCTGAGCTCAACTTACACAGCACTAGACAAAGAACTGAAGAAGAGTGCTAGGAAGGATAAAAGACGATTCTACGACAACCTCGCCACTGAAGCTCAGAAGGCAGAAGGCAAAAGGGACCTGAGGACATTATATCAGATAACCAAATCTCTATCCGGGAAGAGATCAACACAAGCGAAACCTATAAAAGACAGCCAAGGGAACCCAATTACCAAGGAAGAAAAACAAATTAAACAATGGGTGGATCACTTCAAAGGACTCTTGAACCGACCATCACCTGCAACCCGTCCAGAAATACCAACAGCGCGCACACAACTGCAAGTTGACACCAATCCTCCAACGAAAGCTGAAGTCTTGAATGTAATCAAGCTTTTGAAAGCTGGAAAAGCAGCTGGACCAGATGGAATATTTTTTATTTTTTTTTTTATTTTTGATTACAGCTTGATTCCACACTGTATTTTTGGTACAAGTATGGAATTTTCAGCGTGGATATCGGTAGCCCAAATTTTGCAGGCCGACCATAGATATCAGGTGTGCGTCGGCGAGGGCTCGAACCCCGGACCATGTGCATGGTCGGCGAGAATCCTAACCCCTGAATCACTGAAAGCAGACCCAGAGACTACAGCAGACATGCTGACTCCATTATTGCAAAAGGTCTGGAAGGAGGGAAATATGCCTACTGACTGGAGGAAAGGTTACCTCGTGAAACTACCAAAGAAGGGCGACTTAGAACTCTGCAAGAACTGGCGAGGAATCATGCTCCTATCGACGCGTGGATGATTTATGTTTGATGTCACATAAAATCGAAGACTTACAAGCGAAAACCGACAAACTGGTCGAAGAAGCAGCAAAGACAGGACTCCAAGTGAACATAGACAAGACGGAGGTGATGAAAATAACCAACCAACCAACCAACAACAACAGCAACAACATCCAGAACCAATCACCATCAACGGGAGGGATTTGAAAGAGGTTACTTCATTCACTTATCTAGGGAGCATTGTCTCAACTACAGGAAGTCGGAACGGACGAGGATGTCAAATCGAGCGAGAATCGGGAAGGCGAGAAACACATTCATCGACCTGAAATCAATCTGAAGATCTTCGTAACTCAGCATTAACAGCAAAATTCGGATTTTCAATACAAACGCAAAGTCAGTTCTTCTAAACGGATCAGAAACTTGGAGGGTCACAAAGAATATTTCCAAAAGGTTGCAGACCTTTATTAACAACTGTCTTCGCTGTATCTATACTGAAGATCAGATGACCGGGCCGGAAAGAATCACCAACAAGGAACTATGGGAACAAACAAAGCAAGAACCAATCGCCCAACAAATATGCAGGAGAAAGTGGAGATGGATTGGACACTCGCTGAGGAGACCACTGGGTGACATCGCGCGTCAAGCCCTCGAGTGGAACCCGAAAGGGAAGCGGCGTGTGGGACGTCCAAGGGTGACATGGAGGAGATCGTGTGAAGAGGAGTTGAAAGAGTATGGACTAACATGGATGCAGGTGAAAAGTACGCCAGAAGACAGAAACAAATGGAGACGTGCAGTTGAAGCCCTATGTTCCACTAGGAACCCAAGGGGGCAATAATAATAATAATACAGTAGAAAATCAATTATTGTCCAGTAGTAATTATACCATAGCGTCTGATTTTATACCAGACTGGAATTTAGACTAAATATGCGATTGTAGCATTATATGATAATGGCAATAAAGATAAAATCTGTTTATCCAGTATCACCAGGAAGAAAAGCTATTGTAAGTTGGTGTGAAGGCTATAGAAAGGAAAGTGACTGTACAATTTTTTCTGAACAAAAGAGATGGGAAATCTTTCTGAGATAACTGCCTCAGCTTTGCTTAGCAACTAAAGGCGTACAAACTTAGAGAATTGAAGCAGCACCCCATTTAAAGAAGTGAAAACTGAATTTTTATCAATCTTTTCCACACGCCAGGCGCACCAGCACGGAACTTCTGGATGACTTTACGATTCTTTTCCCCAGCCACATTAGATAACGCTTCATCCGAATCGCTCTACTTATGTAGCTATCTAGAAGAGTAGTTACATTTATAGATGCACACTGATGTGGTCAGACTCAACAGCTTAATGCCAATAATTCAGTGGATACATCTATTTTGATATACAAAGTCAAAAACAGACGTTTTTCTTAAACTTAGCGAGGAGACTTTTAGACACGTTTACGGATATTCTTTTTTATTTTTTTTTTTTTTATTTTTGATTACAGCTTGATTCCACACTGTATTTTTGGTACAAGTATGGAATTTTCAGCGTGAATATCGGTAGCCCAAATTTCGCAGGCCGACCATAGATATCAGGTGTGCGCCGGCGTGGGCTCGAACCCCGGACCATGCGCATGTCGGCGAGAGTCCTAACCACTGTGCCACCGACGTCTTTATATAATGAATTTTCTACTTTCCTTAATTCGTCGTCCAGTGTCGACCATGCAAACTTTTTCACTGATGAGATTACCTTCCTGTGCAAAAGAAACTGGCTAATTCATGACTTTTCACAAAAAGCAACCTGCTTATTGCCGGCATATAGCCTTCTTGTTGGTGGCACATCGACAAATGGGTGCTAACTTTATCTGTTTCGGATATGAACCCAATTGATGGGTGTGCTACAATGAATGCTTTGAGAAGGAACTCAGTCAACGAAAGAGTATGTTGCCCACAGACCAGTTTCAGAAATCAGCGGAGAACAACTACTATCTGTCACCAAAACAGCTATATACTAAAAACCGAATGTGACCTAAGAGATGCTGAATTGACAAATGTGATTCAACTTCCTGATTTAAGAATAAGAGGTGGATAGTTTATTTTGTTTGGAAAGCATAGATATAGCACAAAACATGACATAGGAGGCAAAGTTAAATTCTAAGCACCAGTACGTGCCAACGGACAAATGACCCTGAACGCATCAAAGGGATGATGAAGGCTATTTTTGCGTTTTAAAACACATATATTCATGAAAATAACAAATTAAAGGGCGTGAAACTGCTAAACATGACACCCTTTTTCGACGTGTGGCAGAAATACCTCACAGTATTGGGCTGGAATGTTAGCAGATTAATCTTACCACGTGCTGTCAATGAGCCCCACGCATTAGAAATAGGACAAAGTATCAGTTGAACACGACCCAGAAATTGCCAAAGTATACACAGTAAACAATACAAAGAAATAAAACTAGGAACGTAGACTGACTTCAAACAAAGTACACATAATATTTGGCCTCAAAAAATTTCACGAGAATCCAAACGTAACGATGCCTTTTAAATTATGCCCAACACGAATTGGACAAAATTCAACTGCAATGATTCAAGAGACCGTTGCCACTGCAAATGACTGAGAACGCAGGCATAAGGGGATAAATTCCCAAACGCGACCATTCAGCGAGAGACCTAGCACTATTCCATACTCAGATTTTTAACCTTCCTACTTTTTCCCCTGAAATGCTTCAGTCCGAGGTCATGGGTAAAAGAAGATAAATCAAGTCCATAGTTATTTGTTGAAATTATGAGCATCGCCTTTGCTCTACCCTACAATTTCAGATAAGCGAAAGATAACAAGTCCTCTCAAAGGTGCCTCGCATGATAATTCAGTCACATAGGGCATCAGATTTCTGTCAAACCTCTGAAGGTTTTTTCATCGTGCATGAGGTACTTTTAAGCCAGGGCTGTCAGAATAAGGGCAGCTTTCAGCTTTTCAAAAAATGTGGTTGCATATTGAGAGGCGTACAGAACACCGGCTACTTAGTAAGAGCTGTCCATATGGACATGGCTGCATGGAATTTCCAGCCTGAGACTGATATTCGCTGATCAAGTAAGCAAATTATCATAATGATGTTCTTTTGGGTTCTAAATGGAACATAAGTCCTCAACGGCACATTTCTATTCCTGGTGACACAATTGCCTATAAGCTTTCATCTGCTCCACTTCCCATTCAGACATGGGCCAAACTCGTCGTTTCCCATTTGCGTTTCACTCCAGCGATGTCCTAGCGCGTAATGTCACCCAACAGTCTCCTTGTGTTCATATGGTCCATCCCAATATCCTTCGGCATATATGTTAGGCAGCGGGTTTTTAGTATGTTCGTCACCAGAGTTCGTTTTCGCTCATCTGTTCTGGCTTTCGGCTCCTCATTAGCGAAGTAGTGCAGGCAGTTGCTGATGAAAGCTTGCAGTAATCTAATGCTAAGTACCCTCGTGGCGAGCTTAGCAAGTCTCCGAACTATATAAGAGCATTCATCTGACATCAGTTCTGAATGTTGCAGATTTCCACAATGATTTCTGATTATCAAAGGTCCGTCTCGCTCTTACGATGCGGGATTCGACACTTTTATCCTTGCCACTAGTAAATGAAACGATACTGCCTCTCTGAGTAAGCGAAAGGGGCGTCCTACTTCAAATTTTTCTGTTGACGTTATTGGTTGGCTACCTTCATCACCACTTTCTTCTCGGCTTCTACCACCGACCTGTTGGTTCTCGCTCGTAGATATTTGAGTTTGCGTGACACTAAACGCAAGCCGCTTATGGAGTTAAAACCTTCTTGTGGGTCCGACATATTGCTGGTTTCTCTCTCCCCAGGGTCTGGCATATGACCTCCCATCTAATGGGGAATGTCTTCGGTAATAGTAAGAAGCTTAGTCTTACTTCAGGCTCCGCTTGAATTTTCTTACGTGGCATCATCACACAGCTATTAAGTGAGGTTGGTGAAGGTCCGAGATACTGCAATTTTGCAGCGGTTTCCAAATTACTCTGCAGTCAGCGCTTTAAATGCCTTTCCGGATTCCATCAAGCTGAGTTAGTGATTTGGTCACTACTATGTTGTGTGTTCGACATTGATGCGTAACGTTGAAATCTGATCCATAAATAATTTGATTTTCGTGAATTTACCTTGGTAGAAATGGACTTTTGCATCTGGAGCATGTTCCAGTCTCTGCACGGTGACACGATTTAATATTTCGCTCGACGTGGGCAGGCGAGTGATTACTCTTCCCTTTTTTGTGGAGCTCAGTTCATATTCTTCAACAGTTCGACAAGCTAGCTGTAAACTTAACAGTTAAGCAATTTTCCTGTCCGTAGTCCTTGTGTGAGGATACCAACTGAGGCCCCGGGATCCGTTTTCAGTTCTTTCGGAGGAATTCCGTCTAGTCCTTTTACTTTCTTAACTGTCTTTCAGTCCGAGCTTATGCTTTTTTGAAGCCTGGTGCTCACTAGTAGTTCTGTAGCTGCTGGACCTACTTTGGACCATCTGCAGGTAGTAGTTCAAGAACCCTTCGGAGTAATCAGCCCACCATCTACTTTTATTCCCTGGTAAACCTAGCTATCTGATATAGTACCCAGAATGTTTTATCTGCATTCTGTTCTACCTTGGCTGCCAGTGTGTTTGAGAATCGCCTTTTGTCTCTCTTAACACTCTCCATTTCGGTATTTAGTACAATTGTCAATGTAGTTGAAGATTGAACGATCAATTCATGGTTGTTTGCTCAAAACCAACTTCCCCAATTTTCGCGGAGGCATCAATCAGCCAGTCATCGTCTCATCGGTCGCTGTTCAGAAAGAAGTCAGCAGAAAACCGTCAGAAGTAATATTGTGATTTATTATTGTAATATTTGTTCACAGACCTTAGTTGGAACAGTGTTTATATGTTGGTGTTGCAATAAAGAATCCTCGAGTCGCCAATTGGTGTATTCGTTTTTGCGTCCGTTATTACTAAGCGTTTCTCAGAAACTTCAAGGAACAGCGTGAGCCCGAGTGCAGCAAGAGCTGGGCATTAACGGTTTATGAGACGTGGCTGACAACACTGTACATTGAATTACGCCTATCTTTTGGTTGTCCGTATTTGCAATGCTCCAATTTTTTCACAAGATCTCTTTCATCGATCAGCTCCCACGTATTTGAAGAGAGCTATTCCCTCTCTTGACTCTCCTTTCTATCTAAAACGGCTACCTAGGTTTCCTTAAACATCAGTTCAAAAGAGTTCCGATATTCACTCACACAGCTATCCCCAGGTTTCCCTGATGGCTGAAGTGAAGGTTCCCTTCATAGTTTCCTCCTTCAGTTTCCAAGTGTTGAACTTGAATTGAGGTCTGCTTCCAGTCATTTTGAAAGCTTCCTGCTTGACCCTGAAGGTTCCTTGAACTAGGTAATTGTCTGAGCCCACATCAGTTCTCCCTCTCCAATGCGTCCAGTAGACTGCGCCCCTCCTTCTTGGTCAGTATCGATATGGCGTCCATCTGATTTTTGGTGTGTCCATCAGGTGAAATTCATATCACTTTGTATGTATCCTTGTACTTGTACGCACTACCTCCAATCACTGTTTCATATCGTAACACAAAATTGATGTAAACGAGATCTTCAGAGTCTTTTACCGAATATAGATCAATCTTAATTTTGCCTCAAGAATTCTTCTACTACATATTGCTTGGGCCATGGTGATCTACATTAGGAAGCCTAACCTACGTATACGTAAGAAATTGGTTCAGACTACTTCCTTACCTAGGCAATCAAGGATTTACTGATCTTCGATTTGTCATAGAGATGTACTTAATTTTATTTGATATTCTGTTTACTGTTACATTTTTATACTCATTATAACTTACGCATCTTTCTCCGAAGTGCAATTTCATTGATCTTAGCGGATCGATAGTATTTAAATACCCCCAGTATTTCTGGTGAAGATAATTCCAGAATATTCTGCGTATATAAATATACGAATATAATTGTATAGCTGTAACAACAGAAGACAAGGGCCAGCCAACAGATCGTTTGTTACGGATATCAACACGTATTTAAATAAATTTCACATACATTATTATAGCCTAGTCAAGTAGACAAATGCAGTCTTCCGGTTGGTTGTTTTCCAGTTCCTCGGAAAGTGGAGCCGTCTATCTGCCAATCATATTTGCCCACGTTTAGGTTTGGTGTGACTGGTTGTTGAAACAGCCTTGTTCATATTTTCTCACGGCCCATATTATTGACCTAGACATTGACGTAGATTAATGTCAACCGATTGGCTAGCAGGCTGCTCTCACCACATAGCTAGAAGAGGAAATTATCAAAAAGAATATTCTTCGCTCAGGTTTTCTTCTGTGCTCAAAACCGGTGAAGGCTTAGAAGCCGGCGAAGAGTTTACTGTTCTCACTCATTTCGTCGAGAACCTCCCGACCCATCGTGAGTTGTCCTCCTGTTTTTTCTCTTAGTTTGTCATTTATATCACAACCTATTAGGATGCTGATGACTCCATTTTTGCCCGGTCCATTAACATTTTAAGCCGTTTGAAAGATCCTCCCTTTACTTTATCCGCTCTAGGAAACCAGTTAGATATGAGGTCAATTCCAGTTGGCTTTAACCAGAGCGAGTGAATATCACGGAATATTGCAATCATTATGTCATGTTCTTAGACCACCTTTACTTTTCTGGGTACACTTCGGTTCAGAATTCCAGTATCGAACTCTAGAGTATTTGTTATGTGTTGGTTAGATCTAATGCATACGTCGCTGCAGTAACTCCAATGGGGATCAGATAACACTATGCTGTCCAGGTGGGATGCAGTCGAGGATCTCTTGTTAGCCAGTGGGGAAGAAGACCACTTATTGCATATCCCCTCAATGACGCTTGTTGCTATGTTGCTATTGGTTTCAAGTGGCCTTGGTTTTGGGGGAAGATTTAACTGATGTAATATTGCGATTTCGTAGACATAACTCAGGCTCATAGGTGAAAAAATTATAATCCTGGAATAAGGACAAGTTGTTCAGAAGGTAAGGAGGACATTATTTTTCAGTTTATTTGTATATATACTATTGTGTATCGAGTTGCGTTGAGTTCTTAGTGCAACTGTATGTAACTGCATTTACATAAAGTAAAACATTACGAATTCTCCTGTTTTTAAAATAAAAAACATGATTCTTTTCATTAAGTGTAGTAATGAATAATGGAATTTCTTCCACGTCAGTGTTATTTAATTGAAGATTTAATCTCTGTAGGCCCTTGAAGGAATAAATTCGGCACGGAGAACTCCTGTGGAAACCGAAAGCACTTTTAGTTTACTAAATCTTACTGACTTCCTGTATAAATTTGATCTGTCAAGTGTTTATGTAAAGTCTGCTGGTGTATTCAGTAAAGTAAAAGTTGTAGTGCATAACTCCTAGACTTGTTGTAGTCATTGGTATTCCCAGGATACTACTTACTCGTTTTATGCAGCCGAAATATTCAATTCTCACTTTATTGAGGAAATACTATAGTGCCTGCAAAAGTAGTGCGTCAGTTTACGAGTTTCATTAAGCCTACAGAATGTTTTCTATTCACTGAATACTGTTTGCGAATTATCCGAGAAAACACATTTCCGAGTGGGATGTAATACAAGGCTGAATTCTTAAACTGTCATCCTTATATCAG